CGAGCGGCGAGATATAGTGCCACCAAAACAGTGAAACAGAGGCAAACGCTTCAAAGCAGAACTTCTGACTCACAGGGACCCATCGAGGGGATCTCGAACGTAGTCTCGAATCTTGGGTCGGCGGTGGAGGTAGCGGAGGTGGTTAGGAGAGCATTGTTCACGCCCCGCGTGGGGGCGAGGACGCGTGCCCATTTGGAAAAGGAACAAGTATCAAGTATGAGGGAAGAAATAGGGATGGGGGGGGGTACTCATAGTCGTGCATGCCGTAGTCGTTTGACCATTGACCTCGCATCCCTACAAAGCCGGGACGGAGCACGCCGGGTTCTCACCGGACCAGGCTCTCACATCACCAAGCGCGAAGCGCCGTGAGGTATTTGGCGAGTCGCATGAAGGGTGAGCTGCATCCTGCTAAGGGTGTTCGGCATCTTGTGCTTACTTCCTTGCGTACGGATGACAGCTACGTATGACTTAATTTATTTTCTGGTGCTTTCACTTCCAGAGACAGTTGTAAGCACTGTGTAACTGCCTCGAGGAAGCTTGACCATTTTAACACAACGTGGTGCGATCATCCCCCGTTGCGCGGAGTGAGGGTTCTCGACCCCGCACAACATGATCTACTCGACCACCATTACGGTTACCGCCAAAAAAAAAAACGAGGTAAAAAAAAAAAACGGTAACCTGGTTGTCGAGTTCACGAAGTGAATTGGCTTGTTTTACAACGTCGTGGCCAAGCGACGAAAACCCAATCCCGATGGCAAACACCGGGGGGGCGGCTTGTTTTACAACGTCGTTGCCAAGCGACGAAAACCCAACGCCGATGGCAAACGCCGGGGGGGGAGGCGGGGGGGGGAGGAGTTTTGCAGCGTTCAAAAGGTCGTCAAGGAAAGGGTGATGTGGGGATGGCACATCAAAATAGGCAAGATGCAAAAGATGCAACAGGCGACGGGTTTTTTAACAGGCAGGGAGTACTGTAGCAGCAACCTCTTTCAGGTTTGTCGCGGTAAACCCAATAAAAAAGAAGAACCATAAGAAACATTCTCACCTTTCCATTCGACTTTTTTCCCGCGTACAAGCGCTGGACGGACACATATGGAATGGGGGGGTCAGCAGTTGACGAAGTGGTGTGAAAAAGGTCACGTTGACCATACATGGATAGAAATGACCAGAAATATTGGACATTTTCTGTGCATTTACGTTAGGCGTGAAACGTAGCAGCAATGAGGACTTTGTACTCGCCAACCACTGAGATGCTAGATACATGAAGAAGACGCTCTCCCAACTACTCTGACTATGGTTTCCAATTTAACGCACCGTCCGAGCGAGACCGACTTTGGGTAAATCCCTCCATAGATCCTCCCCTGAATGCATTGATTGGTCGTTTTTGCATGTGCTGCTTAGCAATTGGCGCAGCACTCACCGTCCCGTCAGGATGGACGGCGACAAAATCGGTCGCCCATGTGGTTTCAGCAGTGAAGATGCTCCCGAGAAAGAACTGGCTGGTAGAAACGTTGACTGTGGCATCAGTGTATGTCAAGCCTGAATTTCCATTGCTTGCCAGGTACACCTTAACACGGGTTGCGGAGAGATACGGAAGAAATGGAAACCGACAGGTAGGTGTGCTTAGGCAACATGTCCAACATAACCGATCAATCACGTGGCTCCGTGCTTTGCAACATGATCCCTTCAAACGGTTCGTCCTGTTTAGGATAGCTAGTGATCGCCAGGAATGTTGGAGTCTACATATGATTTCATCAATAATTGTTGCGAACAAATGCTCAACCAAGTCATTCTCGGGGTAAGAATATGTATCAAGTCTCGAAAAAAAGGGAAAACCCTTGACCTGCGCTTTTTTTGTAGGGGACTGAATGCCGCGCTCTGTCGTGAGTGCACAGGGTAAGAAATACCTAAATACCTATACATAAGGGTGAGAAAAATTTGCAAATTTTGGGCACTACATGGGGTTGTTTATCCCAGGAAATCGTGAGAATAATATGCGAACAGTTTTCTGCCAACGCCTCATTGTTACAATAAATTCGTCACAGGAAAAAGTCCGGCAAATTTCGAGGGCTGTCCAAAAAATGGGGCCACAAGGTTTCACCATGTCGACGCGGGGAACAAACACTAACTGAAGGTAAACTGTTCCGAGATGCGCCCTGGAAACTGGGTTTAACGGCTTCCTTAGATTTTGGGACAACCCCCGCTGTCCATAGAAAAGTGCAAGAGCACGGGAAAATATCTCTCATCCGGACGGACCGCAGGGCGCGAGGGATTTTGGCGGCTGTTGTGGTTTTGTCAAAGGATGAGTACCAGACAAAGAGTAGGCCAAATTCTAAACATTGGTGCTGTCATCTACTGGATCATCTGCGAACGCACGAGGTCATGTGAAAACACAGCACATCTGAGCACGAGTTGGACGTTTTACCGGGCAGGTCAAGCGCTCAGGAGGCCCAAACGAAGAACTTGCAAGTATGCAAGAGGCAATGTAGTCACCACACCACCCCACTCTGGAAATCGGGTCTCCTGAATGGGCCCGTTGGTTTGCCGCCCAACAATTTTCGCTCTCTGCTCGTCGTGTGTATATATCCGAAGCGTAATTCGTGAGACAGCGCCCACGCACGATATGGTGACCACCGCTCTCTGCGACACCAGAGCATGTGAAAAAACACGAGTGCATACCGTTCTCAGCTGCGGAAAGGCCGTAAACAAGTGCTCACGGTCATACCCTCACCGACTCCGAATCCGGCGTGATCTCCATGAACTCGGAATCCTCGATTGCGGCGTCTCCCATGACGGTCTGAGATATCTCGATTGTCTCATCCCCCACATAGTATGAGTACAGCGTTTGGTACACCATGATCACCTTCGCGTGGCCCACGACCAACAGATATTACAGCGACAGCAGGAATCCGTTTGGAGCGGTAACGTGGAAACCTGAAAATTGAGCGTCGCCCAACTATACGCACGGTGATTCGCTGTCGGGATACTGCGGTGCCCGGTAGGGTTCTTCCCATGCCCTTTGAGGATACAGACATTGAAGGACGGCTGTTCAGATGCGTGAGAAAGTGCGGATGGTTTCGACATGAGTACGTAAGAATCGGTACGACGGGGTTCAAGGTGTTTCACAAAAACGACTCGGGTACCAGCCCGGAATTTCGAGGCAGGAATCAAGATACGGCCTGGGGTCGACACAATCAGTAGAAGGGGCCCTTCACGGCATGACTGAATAGTTTAAAGGGAAGGCGGATAAGAGACGTTCCGGGTAGCAAACACAATAGGAAGACGTCGACGCCGGTCCTATTCTAGGCGTGGAAGGTTAGTCTAAGTGGTTCGACGTACTGTGTGCATGCGAGAACAAGGTGATTGGGTGGCTATCTTTCGGTGAAATATTTGGACATTCCTAGATACACGTAGCGGGTGAGCTTCCCCATCAGACTAGAGCACCGACATGGGGTGGTTTGCATACAGGTTGTCTGCGTCAAGCGTCGCCCAACAGCACACAGGTTTAAGACTAGGGTTGATGTAGGGTTAGGACTAGGGTTTGCAGGAGATCCATGTCGACCATATGTATTCTGCACGAACCAGATGCCTGGCGTTTCGCACGGTCTCTTCCCGTAAGATAGGGTAAGGGTTAGGGTTAGGGTGAGGCCTACAATAGGGTAGCCGGAGGTTCGAGTGTGACAACCCGATCTGCTGATAACGGCGATGCCACCAGGCTCACCACCCAGTCTCCGGTCGGGTCAGCGGTGGCAGACGAAGCCGAAGCCGCCCCTTGTTCGATTGTCACATTGTCGACAGCAAAAAGAGCACCCTCGCCGGTCCTCTCATACCTATAGAGTGTTGACGTGTCTACGACAATCTGGGACGATTTGGGAAGGGGAGTCTTAACGAGTTCGACAGATAACAGGCACATTAGGGACGCACTGAAAATTTAGACGAAGCATAGTGTTTGGGAAATGTTGGAGGCTGCAAACTCCAGACGCTATATAGACGAAGAGACGATTCCGCCGAGGCGTACACCCTACCGGAAGGTAATATTAAAGATCAACATATAGGTTTGAACGACTTGCCAGACACGGCGTCGACCGCAACATTACCACGCGGAAGACCGATTAAACAGGAGCGCAGGGCCTCTTTGTTATTACGGGAATCGACGCACCAAGAGATCATGAGTTGTGGTCCCCATGTACAGGCAAGAGCTTTCCGTTGTACCCCCTGTGCTGACATACGTCTCGCCCCTGAAAAATCAACCCCAGCACGGTGCGGTGAAAGGTTTCTATTGTCGGATGGTGACAAGCTCAGGTGAGCATCTCGGTATTCGCGAAAAAACGTGTTCTTGGGGTAGCGACTTCTAGAACGAAGCAGCACTACAGTACGTCGTACGTTTCATGATGAAGACTTGGAGTACAAGCGACGGGAGAGGCGAGCGATACCATTTTTCGTGCTATGGAATCCACAAGCTGAAGGTTTTCGACGGACAAAGCATAACTCTCCTGATCTCATTATTGACAATACCGTGCCTGCCTTCCAATGTCTCTTGTGGTTGGCTACGTTGTTTGCTATGTGCATGTATACAATAATGTTCCCTACATTGAGGTATAAAACGCGTTTCCTGTTGGGTTGTTCTTGTCGGAAACATTGATATTCTATGTATGTGGTGCCAAAAAGGTTGAGGCGCCCTGCCAGGACTGGCCACCCCTGTACCCAAGCTTGAAAATTATGTCGCGTGTTCTCTGTACGCTACCAGCCCCGGCACACGATGTGGTCCACAATATATCGCTCTCATCAGGTTGATGCTTATCGGTAGCCGGCGGTCAAGTTTGATTCGGGTGAGAGGCCAAGCCTGACGACTACCAAAGTCAGAGATATTTAAGACGCACAACGTTGAGCACCAAAACCGCCAGGCATACCAGTGTCTGGCACCTTCATCCGCAAGACCAAGTGCTAAAATCACCAGACCAGGAACAGAGGTTACACCGTCTTCGCACCAAAAAGGCAGACCCCGGCGATCGCACGTCTGGTCGTCTTGCTTTCCCGTTGTCTGTTCATTTACCTTTCAATATTGACACTGGTCCAACTGAGTGGTGCAGGTGATATTGCTTTTTTTGAAATATCATTATTTTTTAGCTCCACGTTTTGCTGTGGGTCGGTGGCATAGGGAGCGCTCTTTGTAGGATGTCATTTGTCGACACAAGTCATGGACGACAACTGTTCTGCCAAATCCGGGGAGACCTGCGAGCGAGGGCCACGGAAACCTATGGACGAACGGGTAGAAGCGCATAGTCAACATCGGTGAATCTGGTGTTTGCACTGGATCTGTATGGCGCCTTAAGAAAAACCCGCGGTGACAAACCGAAAACACGCTGTCGTGAAGGGACCGACGCACGGCACAGACGACGGACATCTACAACGCAACCCACTTACGTATATATGTCGTCCACCTTGTATGACACAATGGTCTAGAAGACGGCGAAATGCACCCCAGCGCCATCCCAAACACGGACAACAAGGAGCCGCAAGGTGCGTCGAATTGGACATGTGTCAGAGTACGGAAAATATTCTGTAAGTCCAACGCTTGGACTTTCGCGACACAAGGAGGGGTTCAGATGGCAATTCAGTTGGTGTGGCAGCACATCAAACCTCGAGATGGCCTCAGACAAGCACAAAACTTCGCCGTGTTCGTAGTGCGTTTCAATTTTCTGGTGACGCTAGCGATGGGATCGCTCTACAGACGAGATACCAGCTACTGGACATGGCATGCATGACCTTTGGAGAAGGCGTCCGCTATCGGCCAACAAACCGTTCTGGATTTCAAACTCACAGATGTGTCCGGCAAGTACCTAGACGCCAGGTCGAAAGCGAACCCGTCGACATGCCGTCCGGACCATGTGAGCAACACAACATGTTGGGTGTGTCCACCAGAGAATCAATGAGGGTAGCATCGGCAACGCCACGAGGACAAGCAGTAAACGTCATTGTGTACAAGCTCTATGGAAATGTCCCTCGTCACCCAACCGGCAATCTCGGAGAGCGGTTTTGGGTTCAGCGGAGACCTCGTTGGAGGGGCAAGAAGCAACGGACATGCGATCAGGGCTACGCAGTGCCTTACATCCTTGTCAAACTTATCCTAGCAATATCCGACCAATGACGTGGTGTTACATTAGTAGAGAATTTGTCCTAACTATATTGGACAATGTGTGGGGGTAAACATACCCTAGAACGAATTTTATGCGCCGAAGTGAGCATTCCCGGCGTAGCATGTGTGGGTCGGCGACACCATTCAACCTTCACGACAGGGCTGATCGCCGGTCGCATTTGAACGTGCTCCGATTGGCCCTTCTCTTCATAAGCAGACACGAAACACGTGCTCTCTCTGCCAAGTTGGGTCAAAGGCGCTACCCACGACCAACGCTGTACTCACACATCGAGCAGTGTGTTGTCCCTGCTGAAGGAAACATCCGCGGGATGCCACCCGCTCGGTGCGTCGAGGAGATCCTGGCCTACCGTGTACACATTCTCCATTTCCCCGTCGGAGTTGTCGGAGATGTTGAAAAGCCTGAACTCGTATTGATACTCCGAGCTCACTAGTAGTATGGACGAAACCGCTAACTAAGAACAGCAACAAGGGACGAAAAAAACGCCTAGTCAAGGTGAGAACTGCTGGAAGACCTATCGCGTGAGGTATCTGAAATAGGGAGTCGACTCCCCAACCCTAGCGGATGGAATAACCAGTAGTCGACGTAGTGCACGAGGCGTTCTCCGCAAGATACAGCAGGTCATTATAGAATGAAATGCCGTATCATTGTAGTAGATCCTCGATACCAACAACCCCCGCTGTAGTCCGAACACCGCTGGTATTTTTCAAGCAAGTACAGGCCCTAAAACTCAGACTAAACTTGTTCCTCGATAAGAAAACAGGCGCTGCCATCCTCAATTGGGGCACGTGCAGTACCACCTGAAGCTTCATAAATACAAGCACGCGGTTTGTCGGCAACATCTAACGACCCTCCCCGTTCACGTCAAACTGCTCGTGAGTGCCGGCCTGACCCACGCCGTCCACGTTCTTCACATCAGGTTTTTGACGAGTAAGCACAAGAACTCGACTTCTCAGTTACAACAACGGTTCCAGCTCCTGGCCAAAGACCATGAACTGTATCCAACTTCTCATCGAATTATTTCTGCTGCGCTCACGGGCGCGCATTGAACTGTTCTCTGGCCACGTTCTAAGGGTCTGAGCCGCCAATAATATCTCAAAATTCTGCTCTCAAACTCTGTTCCGTTTTCATTCGATGCTCACCCATTGGCTATCGGACGACACTGCAAGTCGATTGAAGGCTTCGGCGGTGTTGTGTGTGTATGCCACCAGAGGGGTTTCGTCTTCTCTGTGGGACCATACGCGTTAGGAAGAAAGAATGGACGAGCGCATGGGAAGGTGTGGGAAGGATCCAACCTTCCGTAACGCGTACACATCGAGACGAACGCTGTCAGTACATTTCGTTTTGGCGTGACGTCCTCCTTTGAAGGCATGCGTACGAGATCTTCACCACGTTTCAAGCACTGTTATCATCGCTTGAAGGGAATGGGGAACAGCAGGTGCCCACGTTTACAATATTGTCTACCAAATGTTGTACACATATTCACTAGGTCGAGCACCAACAACCCTGTCGCAAACGTTCAGCAAAGAGACGAATCATGATGCAAACAAGTGCATAATCGTCGTTGATCATTGCTTGCCAGCGCGCCACCACGGTTTCCACGGGAACATCCTGAACAAGAAGGAGTTGGCGCCATCTTTGCAGTACGAAAGGGGCACGAATTCTGGAGCCAAGCACACATCGTATATCCGTGCCGTGGCCG